AGAGACAAGGAAAAACTGAAGAAGAGACTAGAGTATGGCCACCAGGTAACTCTTAGAGCTGAGAGGGAACTGCCTGTGGTAGAAATGTCTGGTTTAACATCCTGTTTGGCTGGCCAAGTTCTGCTCACCATGAGGAAACCTCAAATCCCCCATCTTTGCTGTCCAGTGACGGGAAATCCGCCACTGCTTTCTGTGTTGAGTTTGTGAGGGCCAGAGGCCTCTCCAAACAGTGCTAGAACAGATGTCAGTCAATCCTAGCTGTTTTTGTGAGGTGACACCTAATGATTGCAAGTGATTTGTTGTAGAGAGAATGTAATGAGGATATGAAAGTAAAGATGCCCTTAAAAGTGGGGCAGGGGCTGGGGATGGACAAATGTGTAATAGCCAAACTTGTGCAAAGAGGAACTCAGATGAAATGCATATGCAAATCAACATGGTTGAGTGAGGTTGTGTAGATTTCAACCCAGAATCGAGTGTGATTTAGCTGAAGTTTTGTTCAAACTGAAGTACTAAGCTAAGATAATTTCATTTCTGGAGATGAGATGCTGCAAGTGCTGTTTTAACCTATAAACTTGCAGTGTGGAACCTACAAAAAACCCTGAGCCCAAGGAGCTGATTTAGGTGTTGGCATAGAGTTAATAGAACTGCTTAAACCTGTTGTGAAGAATCTACTAATATCTGTTTATTTTCATTCTTAACTTGTATTATCTTATAGATCAATAATGAAATATTTTTAAAAACATCTGTTTCTTCAAGTAAAGACTTCAAACCCTTCTCAGCTGTGAGTGGAAAGGAAGCTCTGCCAAGGTTACTTCTGCTAAAGTCCTCAGATGCTTCTGTCAGGAGAAGTCTGCCTATCGTAATTAAATCGGTGTCTTCACCTCAATCAGATCCTGATAACAGGTTAGTGGGACCTGTACAAAGTGATGTATTTATTTATTTCTCAAATTAATCACTCGTTCATGGAAATTACAGGTGTTGGGGCTATTGGGTAACAATTCCTGTGTTCCCTCTGGTTGGTTAAAGGTACCTAAAGACCTCATGAGGGACAAGACTAAATGCAGCAAAAACTGTTGTGCACTGGCAGGAGCTTTGCTTGGTCTGTTTAGGAACAGAATTTGGGTAGACCACAGTGCACAGGATGTTGTCCTTAAGGTTACGGAATGGGAGTGTGGGGATATTCCTGGAAATCTTGAGTCTGTTTCAAAGTAATGGTGTGGGAATGTCAGACAGGAAAGGACTTCACTCATCCTAAAATCCTATGCAGGGAGACATATCCCTGGCTGGTTAGAGAGTGGTAGTTTTTAACAGGGAAGGAATAATGGAGTGATTCAATTGACTGGTTTTGAACAGGGAAGGAATAAGCTTTAGCAGAGAAGGAATCATGACCATAAACTACATAGAATAATGGCCATAAACTACAGGGAGTAATGGCCAGAAACTACATGGAATAATGGCCATAAACTAAAACACAACCAGTTCCACCTCAACATGAGGAAGAACTTCCTTCCATTGAGGATGGCAAAGCGCTGGGACAAAAGCACAGGGAGGACATGGATTCTCCCACTCTGGAGACATTCCAAACCCACCTGAATGTGTCCCTGTGCCACCTGCTCCAGGTGACCCTGCCTGGGCAGAGGGTTGGACTAGATAATCTCCAGAGGTCCTTTCCAACCCCAACTATTCTGTGGTTCTGGGCAACACTAAACATGGCTTGAAACAAATGGTTCTGCACTATTTGAGCAATAAAATAATCAGTTGAATGTTCTCCTTCTCAGTCTGAAAAGGAGGACACAGAGTTGTGTGACACCTGTGTCCTTGAAGACACCTCGACTGAATGACACAGGATTCAACAACCATCGTGGTGATGATGATGATGATGATGAAGATGTCATTATTCTAGAGGAGAGCAGTACTCCAAAGCCTTCAGCAGATCCTGAGGTTCCTGTCATGAAAACTGAATGTATTAACTTGGATCAAGAGGAGAAGCAGGAAGAGAACTCTAACACTGGAGAACTTTGCAGTGCAACCACTTCAGAGCCCAGAAGAGAACAGCTGACCTCAGCAACACAGACAGAGCGGCCAAGCTTGGTGGTTAAAAAGGAAGAGGTGGAAGATGACATCCAGATTCCCAAGGCAGGGGTGGAAATGGAACTGCACAATGTCAATGGTTTTCCTGAGTCATCTGTGGATGCTGAGCAGGGGCTGAGAAATCAGCTGCAAGTATTAAACAAAGAAAAGGAAGTGTACCAAACCAGGTGTGAAGCATTAACCAAACAAGTGGAAACACTGGAAGAGAAGCTTTTAGAGATGAATAACAAGTGTGTAAAGAAAGAAATGTGCCACCAGTCGACAGAGACAACTTCTCTGTGTGCAGAAGAAAGTGTCAATGGGAGAAGTTTGGCAGAGCTGACAGTTCTGTATGAACAGGCCTTGGAAGAAATAGCCAAGCTAAAGGAGCAGTGCAGTACCCTGCAGAACCTAAAGACTGAGTGCAGCAAGTGTGCTGAGGGGGAGAGCAAGAGTGAGGTGGATGAAATTGCTGTGCAGCTGGATGATGTTTTCAGGCAGTTGGACAAGTGCACCATTGAGAGAGACAAATACAAAAGTGAGGTAGGTCTTAAAACACTTCTGTCCTTCAAAGTCTGAAGTTATTCCTCCTTTTTTACTGCCTGTTTCCTAGCAGTTGTGGTTCACAACATGTATGGTTTTTATAGCTTCTTTCATTTTTATTTCCAGGTTGAAGTACTAGAAGTGGAAAAAAACCAACTTTCTTGTCAGTGTGAAGAGCTCAAGGCAGAACTGGCCCAGTTAAAAGCTTCCATTCCCCAAGCAGTAGCACATGCAAATGATTCTACCACCAGTAATGTAGAAGACTCTGTAAATTTTTCTGATGGAGAAAGGTATCCGTTTTGTTCTTTCTAGATGATATTTTGAGCAAGACTTTTTGATTGTATATGAAACATTTTGATGGAGGTCCTGTCTGATAATTGTATAATAAAATGTGATGCTTGGAATTTTTCTCTGCTGCCTCTTGTGACTCTGAACTCAGTAACACTTCTGAGCAAGTGTTTGATGGCATTGATGTGTTTGTGTGAGCAGGGTTGGACAGTGCACAGTGGAATGCCATGTTGATCCTTCTTAAAATGCCAAAAAAGGGATGTCATTTCTAGCCACAATCTGCAAAACAAGGAGAGAAAAAGGAGGCAGGAAAGAAGATGATCATTAGCTTCTCCTGTATGAGTGAACTTCACTTTTTTTAAAGCCTGTTTTCCTTTCTTGGATCAATAGGCCTTGACTGAAAAGAGTGTTTGGGTTTGAAACTGATTTTTCCTGTAAGGACTCCTTGCTGCAGGCCAATCCTGTGGAATGGGGTTGTGTCCAGGGTGTCTCTTTGAATTAAACAAGGGTTTAAACTTAGAGAGCTTGAAGCTCCTGGTACATGGAAATAGTAAAGAAGGACACATAGCAGATGGAAGCAGGGATGAGCCAGAGCTCTGGAGTTAAAACTGGACATGCCTGTGAAGGATCCAGAAGGATTCTGTAAGCACAGCAGCAGCAAGAGAATTAAGATAAAATGTGGCCCTGCTGCTCACTGGGGCAAGTGCTGAGGAACAAAGGACATGAGGTGTGAGGGAAAAACTCCTGAGGTGCCCAATGTCTTTAGCGTTGTTTTAATGCTGAGGTCACTGCCAGATGACAATCTGAGGGGTGAAGCATTAGCTTCACCTTCAAAGGTGACTGAACTAAGGGGCTATGGAAGCAAATTCATCCATGGAACCAGATGAGAGGCATCAGAAGGAGCCCATGGATGGAGAGTTGGCCTGGTTGGGGATGATGTCTCCAAAAGGCTGTGGCAGTTGACATTGCTGATGCCTGGAAAAAGGCATGTCCATGTTTAGGACAGGCAGCTTCAGTCGTGGGGGAGACTATCAAGCAAATCTACCTGGAAGCCAACTGCAGCTTCATGAGAGTCAAGATGGTTAAGAACAACCAGCATGGAGTTGCTGTGGGCAAATTGTGCCTTTGCAACTCTCGTGCCTGTTGCAGTGAGATTGTCAGCTCTGTGCACCTTCATTTCAGCAAAATTTTGATGTAGGATCATGGTAGTGAAGGTTGGGGTGTAGTTTGTGGAGGTAAACTAGGAGGTGAGTTGTCAAACTGGCCACACTGCTGAGCTCATGGATCAGTTGTGAGGTCTGGAATGGTTAATGCCTTTGCACTTTGTGTGCTGTGACAAGTTCTGGGCTCCTCACTTCAAAGAGGACATGGAGGGGCTGGAGCATGTCCACAAAAGGCAATGGAGCTGCAGAAGAGTCTAGAACACAAGTCCTATGAGGAGAAGCTGAGAGTGTTTAGTCTGGAGCAGAGAAGGCTCAGGAGGGACCTCATTGCTCTCTCCAACTCCTGCCAGGAGGTTGCAGTGAGGTGTGGGTTGGTCTCTTTGCCATGTCCCAAGGGAAAGGAGAAGAGGAAATTACCTTGAGTTGCACCAGAGAAGGTTCAGATTAGATACTTGGAAAAATCTTCTCTGCCAGCGTGTTCAGGCCTTGGAATGAGTTGCCCAGGGAGGTGGTGGAGTCACTGTCTCTGGGAGTGTCCCAGAGGCATCTGGATGTGGCCCGTGGGGACATGGTGATGATGGTGGGACTGGATGAGCTTGAAGGTCTCTTCCAACCCCTAATTCTGTAATTGGTGACCTAGATGACAGCAAAATCAATTCAATAAATTCATGATGACATCAAATTGGAGGCAACCAGTGGTACTGGGGAGGGCAGAGCTGCTGCTGAGGAAGATCCCTCAGCAAACTGGGGCAATGGGCTGAAAGAAACTGCCTGAGAAGTCAACAAAGGCAACTGCAGAATTCATGCAGGTGAACAAGCTGGAGACTTCCTAGGCAAGCAGTTGGGAAGGAGATGCCCTGTGGGACTGGTGGAGATGGAATGTGGGTCAGCAGTGCACTCTGGTGGTGGGATAAACCAGTGCCTGCTGGGCTGTTCTGGTGAGGGTTCCGCCGACAGCTGGAGGAAGTGGTTCTTCCTGGTGTTAGGTGTTGTGAGACCAAACATGGATTGCTGTGACCACTTCTGGCACTGACATAGAAGGATTAAGGGCCACCAAGGTGGGAAGGGCCTGAAGCAC